CTCAACTCTCTAGCATTTTATTAGTTTCCAGCATGTTTGCAAGCGCTCATCGAAACATGTTAATGATGGCCAGTTTAAATTCTTTGAAGGGTATTTCTAACATCAATGTCAACTTAGTGTTAGTTAATTTTTTGGAGTTACACACATGGACATTCACACACACAGCATATATATAATCAAGTAAAATTTATATTTACCTTATTTTCTTCACATATAGTGCCATCAGCTACATAGGTATTATCTGGATCTGTGGCTATTGCGCCCTTTTTTGTAGCTGCTGACAGACATACATGGCCATTAAGGTAAGTATATTGAACATCAAAATTTATATTTTCCACTATACGTGTATGTGTCCATTCACAAACTATCTTTGCACAAAGGGTATCCCTGGCAATATAAAACAGAGAAAATCCCCCATATGTCACTTTGGGATGCAATTTATTAGGTAAATAATGATTTAAAATATGTGAATAATTCAAAACGTTCTCAGAACATAACACCAAAGCCACTCAGAGCATGCACCATATTATTAAGTGCAACTTATAAATTCATCCATATGTACTAAATTCATCTCTCTCACTTGAATTAAGTGACTCATTGCAGAAAACACATACACACAAACACATACATGCATTTGGAAAATGGATAGGTTTTAAAATACACACATAAAATTACAATGTTTCGAAGGACAGTTTCCAAAGTCATCTGATAGAGAATTCACTTCTTCTGCACATAGGTATGTTCCACCTTTAGCAACTGAAAATAAAAAGTTCCAGTTACTCATCTTATAAAAATTAAAATTAAAGTGTGGTACATTAATACGGAGACATTTAGACAGCAGCAAAATCCAATCAATGACATATACTACAAGTATTTGATGTCTCCTACTGGCTCTTCCAGAATGAGAAACACTCCCAAAAAATACCCACGGGAGAAGAGAAAATGTGGCATTGTCTTTCAGAAATGACTTAAAGTCACTCGTTTACTTTCTGATACACAATTCTAATAATCTATTCCCTGTATACCAATCACATGAAATTTATCTACTGTCTTATTCTCTTTGTCTTATATTTACTGAGCTCATTTTGTTCTTGACATAATTCAAAGAACAAATTGGATTTGCAATTTTATTTTCAAATTTGGATTTAAATAAATAATATATTTTTGTGGCTTTTATGGTGAGTTTCTGACTTTAGAAAAACACCATTCCAAAATGAACCCTGAAAAACACACGCAGCTATTACATTTTCCAAATAACTCCACACACTGTCTACTTGGATCTCGACATATCCCTTTATAGCAAAAGGCGGTTTTATTGTTACATGGTTCTAAATCAATAGATTTCATGTCTGGCACACAATACTCAGATGTTCCGGTGCAAAATTCTGTAAAATCACATGGATCAATGCTTTTCCGACATATACGTCCTCTTGGGAGAAACTGTGAGAAAAAAAATGGGGGTAGGGGGACAGGAGTAATACATTTTATTCAAATGACTTGAATTGATTCCCACATGGCAATGAATCAAGTCTTACCACACTACTCCAAGTGAGGTATTATTATCTGCTATTATAATTTACATAAACTGTCATTATTAGTTAAGAATCATCAGAGGTTAAATGAAATATCAAAGATCACATACTACTCAGTACTAGAGTGGGAGCAGTATAACTCACATTCTTGACTGATACTATTGACATTAAGCACCGCCACTGTGCATAGTATCCACTGAGCAGGACACCCTACTTTTGAAATAATTTATTCTATGCTAACCTATCATGAAGTTTAATTGAACATGAACATAACAGCACGAGATCATGTTCTCACACCCAACACCAAATTCAGAAGTAAGTATGTATGTGGTGTTCTGAAAGAAGCAGAAATGTTAAAATCATAAGTCAGCATTTTTTTTTTTTTCCATCTGAAAATGTTTCATTGACTTTAAAGTAGTGTTGAGCTCTCTCATTGTTTCTACTAATTTCAAATGAGAGAACAATGGTAAATTAAAAGTGGATTTTAGTGACAGAGTAAGGGGCGGGAGGAGGCTGTTACCAAAGCAGAGGTTCTAGGATGAAGTCTTTCCAAGGGTGTAGCTCAGGTTTCATTATTGAACCTAACTGTTTGAAACAAAGAGCACTGATGATTTCTTCCATAAATATATAAATATATATATTAGAGGCCTGGTGCACAAAATTTGTGCACGGAGGAGGGAGGGTATCCCTCAGCCAAGCCTGCACCCTCTCCAATCTGATATCCCTGTCACAATCCAGGACTGCTAGCTCCCAACCACTTGCCTACCTGATTGCCCCTAACCACTACCCTGCCACCCCGATCAACACCTAAATTCTCCCCTTCCAGCTCAATTGCCCCTAATTGCCCTCTCCTGCTGGCCTGGTCACCCCTAACTGTCCTCCCCTAGCAGCCCAATTGCTGCTAACTGCCTAGTCATCCCTATCTGTCCTCCCTTGCTGGCATGGTCAACTCTAGCTTCCCTCTCATTCAGGCCTAGATGCCTGCAACTGCACTCCCCTGCTGGCCTTGTTACCCTAATTGCCTTCCCCTGTAGGCTTGGTCACCCCTAACTGCCCTTCTCTGCTGGCCTGCTTTCCCCCAACTACCGTTCCCTGCAGGCCTGGTCCCCCACATCTGCTCTGCCCTACAGGCCAAGTCCCCCTGAACTGCCTTTCTCGGCTGGCTCAGTCACACATAACTGCCCTCCTCTGCTGGCCTGGTTTCCCCTAACTGCTCTCCCCTGCAGGCCTGGCTGCCCTCACATGCCCTTCCCTGCAAGCCTCATCCTCCTACTGCTTTCCTCTGCTGGCCCAGTCACCCCTAACTGCCCTCCCCTGCTGGCCTGATCACCCACCACTGCCCACCCCTGCTGGCCATCTTGTGGCAGCCATCTTGTGTCCACATGGGGGTGGCCATCTTGTGTGTTGGACTGATGGTCAATTTGTGTATTACTTCTTTATTATATAGGATTATTTAGGATTATAGAAACAAATAGTTTTGTAAAGTATCAACCAAAAATGTAAAAAGATTAAGTGAGAACATTGTGTTTGTAACTCTGATTTAGATTCTATTACATTTTTAGCTACTTAAATAAAATTATAAATCTACTTAAAAGTTCTAGAGAACTAAATCACAAAGAACCCAAATGTCCATCAATTTTCACCTCAATTTTTAAAAAGGATCTAGTTAGTGAAAGCATTCATAGTTGTAATGCTATGGTTATACTAAATATTGCTTCAAGATCAATAGAAAATATCTAATATCAAGGTATATATTTGTTTTTCAACTTTGGGTTCTTGGGACTAACTAGACTCCGGAAATTCTGTCCTAATCCAGATAGTAGTCTTAATCATGTTTCTAAAATATGGCTGAATAGATATCATTTTAATTTTAAGAAATTTTTCTTTCAGGCCATACCCCACCTCTACCAAGAGAGATTATGAATTTTGAATCAGCTCTGACTAGGGATGATAATCAGAACACTTCTTCATAGACACAGGGAATGGAACAGTGGAGGAAATTTAATCTAGAAGGATAAGTCACGGTTTCTTCTATTACCAAGCATAGAGACAGATGTTGGGAAAGAAAGGATCTCTCTACTCTTCTGAAATATTGTACTGTGGACTAGACAACCAGGAAGCACAATGAGCTATCTCTGTTACACATGCAGAAATCGTGTTTGAGAATTATCAACAAATTTGCAAAGATATGCAATAGATATATAGGATAAGAATTGCATTGTTCCTGTTTGAAATATTCCCCTGAGCACTAAGTAATACTCATCTTTACCTAAGCTTCATAAGTATTTGTTTGTTTTCTTTTGCTTGGCCATTATCAAGATACAACTTTTGTGACACCAAGGTTGGGCCTAGGCAGTATTATCATAATTGAAATAAGCCAGTCAGAGAAAGACTAATACCATATGGTTTCACATATTTGCATGTGAAATCTAATGAACAAGTTAAAGAAACAAACAAAATAGAAACAGACTCATAAATACAGACTGACAGCTGTCAGTCAGAGGGGAGAGGGCTGGGCACTGGGTAGAAAAAGTGAAGGGATTAAACAGTACAAATTGGTATCTGCAGAATAGCCAGAGAGATTCAGTTTGCAGCATGGGAAATACAGTAAAAAATGTCGAGAAAACTGGGTAGGTGGATGGGTCACAGGGAGTCCACTCTGTGAAGTGCATGGTTATCTGACCACTTTGCTCTACATCCGAAACTGGTGATGAATGAAATTAAATTTAAATTCTGATTGATTTCTCCATATAAACTCCTAATATGCAAATAGACTGAACTGCAGAACAACCAGACAATTGAACCAGTCGCTATGATATGCGCTGACCACCAGGGATGATTCACAAAACATGGTTGGTGTCCACCACAGCGGGATTGTCGAGCAGTCGGGCTGGGACACCATACCAGGTGAGGGGCCAGTTGCTGTCATTGAAGCAAACCTCTGGTAATTACTGAAAATTCTTTGTATCCAGGCACCACACTCCCACCCAGCAACCACACTTGCTGTCCACACCGGACCCCCTCACACCCACTGCCAGTGCAGGAGCCTTCACTCACTCCAACTTCTGGTGCCAGGCCTTCTCACACCGGCTGCCAGTGCCAAAGCTGCTGTCAACCAGCCCCACTATTTCCACACCACCTTCCCATGTGCTGATCAAGCTGAGCCAGCATGATCAGCACATGGGAGTGGAATTGCCAGCAGACAGGGGACTGGGCTGGAGCGCAGAGGATGGGCTGAGACCCACCCCTGTGCCCACTGCAGCCTTGGGCTCCAAAGTTTTTTTCAAGGTGCACATATTCCTGCACTGGACCCCTAGTAATAGAATAAAATCTAAAGTACTAAGTGTTGGTTATGGTTTGATTTATTTTCATCATAAAATAAATTCCAGAATATGTTGATAGTTTTCTTTTTTAACCACTATTTAGAAAATAAAAGAACTCTTGAGTTTATTCTTCTAAAAAGTAAAGTCATTTAATGGCAAAAGATATTTTAGTCTCTTGGTATTTAAATAACAAAAGCTGTGTATCAAGAAGTTTTCACCTTTGTGGTTCCACTATAACATCAAAATTATACTATATCTAAGGAGTGAAAAAAATAGTATTAGAAGCAAGCTTTATTTCAAATTGTTACAAAGCTTCAATCTAAAGTCCACATATAGATACAATGCACATAACGTTAAAAATTTCACTGATAAAGTATATATAAGAAATTCATAATAATCATTTTATGCAATTAAAAAAAAAGATACAACTGACCACTACATAATGTATATTTAAGAGTGCCAATTAAATTTTTTTTAATTGCAGTGCAGATAGGAATGTGTGTGTACTGGTTAGAAACAAGTTATTCATTGCTATTTTTCAGTAAAACAGCTGGTTAAATTATTGTCTGCCATATCTTTGCACTTAGATTTGTTTCTATCTAAATAGAAAAGTCATTTATAAAATATTAGATAAAATTGCTAAATTTTGAAAATGCATTGGTATAAATTAGCCTACTTGAAATTAGAAGAGAAGAAAATGGGAAGACTTTTACACTTATGGCCAATAAAGGAGAGCAGTCTTAAATGAGAGCAAAAGCAAAGCTCTATTTACTAACACACATAAAATTAATGTGAACGAAGAAAGTACTTTTAGCTATTGCCCTAAAGCTCTCCATGGCAACTTGTACTGTGAATTTTCACTCAACCAAATGTAGTGATTATCTTTATTTTAAAGAACTTGGGATGTAGGTCAATGGCAATGGACTGTCTAGAAAAGCTATATTGCACTGGTTTGGAGATAAAGGTCAAGATGAGAGCTCTAATGAAAAGAAAAGCAACAAGATTTACTGCTAAGAAGTAGAAGCCCCGCCTCTCTACTCATGTGCCTTAAATATAACTGATCATTGGCTCTAATTACTAGCCCACAGAGTGAAAATGAACACATATAGAACAAAGCAGAATAATGTTGTGAGATATTGCATTGAAACAGAAAATATCTCTCTTGAACCCACTTTTATATTTGTCATAGACTCCCGAAAGGGACACTAAATGAGATGCTATATGATGCAAATCACAGAAGACAAACCCTAACCAATTTCCACTCAGATGTGGCTCCAGAGAAAAACATGAATGGAAAACTTCCCAAGGAAGTCAGTTTAATCCTCCACTTCTAGACTAGGAGTCCTTGACCAAGACAAACTTCACTGTTTTATATGCTACATATTCTACATGGATTCCTTTTTCTAGTATTTTCAAAATCAGATTTTTAAAAGTACTGTCTTCTATTGGAGCATTGCATGTCAACTGTGTGTTAGCTGCTCATTTTTAATTTTGTCATAAATTGTTTCATGATAAAGAGTTTCACTTAGGCAGCACCACCAGGAATTCATCCCACCCAAATAATCTGGAATTGATATTTAGTGCAGTAGCTAGATGGATCTTGAGTAGAAATTGAAAAAATACAGTGAGTAGTGGAGCTAAATAGTATGGAGAAAAAGACCTAAAGACATCATCTAAATTCTAAAACCAACAGTGTGTGAATAGGGTACAAAAAGTAGCATAGGTGAAAGATGTGTACAAACAAGTTTTTTAAAAACTAAAGTAGAAAGAATGCACAAGAACACAACAATTTCATGAGGTAAAGAAGTTATAATTAGAAAGCTTACCCGACAAGTTTTTTTGTCACAGCATGGTCCATTGCCACATTCTGCAGTTTCAGTAAGTGTACAATTTTCAACATGACAGCATTTTTTAAAAGCACAGTCCTGAAAGTAAATACAATCAAATTAAATAATTAGAATTTGCTATCAAATAGATAATTTTATTTGTCAAAATAAACTAATGTTTGTCTCTAAATTAAATACAATTACACTATAATTTTTACTTCTGTATTTACTTACAGTACTGCTTCCTTTGAAATTATATTTTCAGTATAGAAGACAATGGTAATACATTATGCACAATTCCATGCTCAAGAAATTGAACTGGAATTTTGCTCAACTTGTTACCTGCTGAAGCAGCAAGTAAAAGATTAGCAATGCCTGAAAACCAGGGCTGCTCAAAAAGAATCATGATCAACATCAACAACCTCATGCATGAAATAAATGAATTAATAAAATTGTACAAGATGCTACATGAGGTAGAAAAGGAAGCCCAATCTGAAGCAGCAGCAAAAGGTATTGATCCCACAGAAGTAACAATGGCAATTAAATATGATCATAACAGTGATCCAGGCAGATATAATTCTCCCCATGTAACTGAGGTTGCTGTCATATTCAGAAACAAAGATGGAGAACATCCTTTTGAAAGGGACTTGCCCATTCATGGTAAATCCAATCCCAATAATCTGAATGCCACTAAAATGAAACAAATCAGTATTCTGTATCCTATATTAGATGCAATGACATTTCCTATTCTTTTTCCACATGGTGAAAAAGGCTGGGGAACAGATATTGCATTCAGACTCAGAGACAATAGTGTACTCAACAATAATACTATTACACTAAATGTAAGGACACGAGACACATAAATGTAGTATTGTGGATTTCATCTCTTTGCAGGACACGTTCAATCTTATTTTAAATGCAGGAAAATTAACTCAACAGTTTCTCTTGGATTTATATTTAAAAATGGAGGCCAATTGAATAAATTTCATCAAAGCAAATCAATCTAAGCTGAGAGTTGAAAAATATAGTGGTTTGATGGATTATCTCAAATCTAGATGTGAAAATGACAATGTGACAATTGGTAAAATGATAATACTTCCATCATCTTTTGAGGCTAGTCCCAGAAATATGCAGCACCAATATCATATGCTATGACAATTGTAACAAAGTATGGCGATCCTGACTTATTCATAACCACGACATGCAACTCCAAATAGGGAAATATTAGAAACAATTTACAATGCTGATAAAAAATTAAAAACAGACCTGATTTGGTAGCCAGAGTTTTTAATATTAAGCTGAATGCTCTTTTAAATCACATATATAAATTCAATTTATTTGGCAAAATAATAACTAAAATTCTTATCATTGAATTTTAGAAATGCAGACTGCCTCATACCCACATATTATTGATATTATATAGTGAATCCAAATTATAAACAGAAGATGACATTGACCATATAGTTAAAACAGAAATTCCAGATGAAGACCAGTGTTCTTGACTTTTTCAAATTGTAAAATCAAGTATGGTACATGGGCCATGTGGAATACAAAATCCAAATAGTCCATGTATGGAAAATAAAAATGATCAAAGGGATATCCAAAGGAATTTCAAAATGCAATGATTGGAAATGTTGATGGGTATCTCAAGTAGAAATGAAGATCTAGTAGTACCATTTCTATTGGAAATAAAGTTGTCAAAAACACTTGAATAACCCATATTTGTGCCTCAGATATAACTGCCATATAAATGTTGAAGTCTGTGATATTAAAAGTGTCAGATATTTATTTAAATATATCTATAAAGGGCATTACTGTGCAAACATTCAAATTTCTGAAAAAAGTATTATCAATCATGATGAAGTACAGGACTTCATTAAGTATAAGTATGTGAGTGCTCCTGAGGCTGTTTGGAGACTTTTTGCAATGCAAATGCATGATCAATCTCATGCAATCACAACATTAGCTATTCATTTGTCAAATGACCAGAATTTATATATTCACACTGATGATTTTGCTGAAGTTATAGATAGGGCTAAAAGGCATAACTCAACTTTGATGGCTTGGTTCTTATTGAATAAAAAAGATTCCGATGCACGTAATTATTATTGGGAGATTCCACAGTATTATCCTAGCTAATAAAAGAGTAATATGGAAACTGACTATCACTCCAGCACACAAAATGGCCGCTCCCGTGTGATCAAACATGGCCACCCCAAACAAGATGGCTGACAGGGAAGGATAGTTGGGAGAGACCAGGCCTGCAAGGGAGGGTAGTCGGGGGTGATTAGGCCATCAGGGGGAGGGCATGTAGGGGTGACTGGGCTGTCAGAGGAGGGCCATTGAGAGCAACCAGGCCTGAAGGAGAGGGCAGTGGGAGGGATCCAGGCTTGCAGGAGAGGGAAGTTAGGGGGAACCAGGCCAGCAGGGGAGAGCAGTTAGAGGCAACCAGGCCTGCAGGGAAGGGCCATTGAGAGCATCAAAACCTGCAGGGCAGGACAGTTAGGGGTGACCAGGCTGGCAGATGAGGGCTGTTAAGGGTGAAGGTGAGGGCTGTTAGAGTGACTAGGCTGTCAGGGGAGCATTTAAGCATCGATCAGACTGGCAGACAGAGTGGTTAGGGGCAATCAGTCAGGCAGGTAAGTGGTTTGGAGCCAGCAGTCCTGGATTGTGAGAGGGGTGTCTGACTTCCCATTTAGACCCATCCAGGATCAGGCCTAAATGGGCAGTCAGACACCCCTCAAGGGGTCCCAGACTGGAGAGATTGCAGACTGGGCTGAGGGACACCCCTGCCCCCAAGCATGAATTTCATGCACTGGGCCTCTAATCTTAATTATAAAATCCCAGGATTGTAACAACCTATCACAACCAAAGGGTGACCAACCAGAAGTCAATGCTATGTTGCCATGCAGGGCGGGGTTCAGTCCCTGGTGGGAATCAGTCATGTCATGCTGGTGGGAGCCAGTCCCAGGCAGGAGTCAGTCAGGGTGGGAGTCAGTCCCGGGAAGGAGCCAAGGCACAGGGGTGTGAGTCCAGGGCAGGAGTTAGGGTGGGAGTCAGTCCCAGGCAGGAGCCAGTCCCACGGGGGTGCCAGTTCCAGGCAGGAGCCAGTCCCAAGCAGGAGTCACAGTGGGAGCCAGTACCAGGCAGGAGCCAGTGGTGTTGTTTGGGTAGGGGGGAAACCCTGGCGGGAATCAGTCAGGGTGGGAGTCAGTCAGGGTGGGTGGCTGTAAGGACGGGAGACAGTCAGGGCAGGAGTCAGTCAGGGCAGGAGTGAATTCCAGTCCCAGTTGCACCACGTGGGAGTCAGTCCCTGGAAGGAGCCAGTCCAGGGGCGGTGGCGAGGGGAAGTGGGGAGTGGACAGTCTCAGGACAAGCCAGTCCTGGGAGGGAGTCGGTCAGGGCGGGAGTCAGTCAGGGTGGAAGTCAGTCCTGGATCATGAAAAGAGAAACATTAAGAAATAGAAATAAGACAGACCTATACTTCAACATGAGGAGATATTGGCAGAAGAATAGCAGGGAGCCAGAACTCCCACCATCTCATAAAGATAATGAATACTTATGCCACTCCACTCCCCACCCATCACACACACCTACAAACCTTGGGCCAAGTGGGGAATCTGGACCCCTATTCTATTCTTGAAATAATGAGGTGACATCTCACCGTTCTTTTACTAGGGCAGTATCAAAGCAAAGCCAGATAAAACAGGGCTGAAAAATATTCATAGTTCCATAATAGTCAACATTTCTAGGATTCAATTATAAAACTATTTATACAAAGAAGCAGAAAGATGTAGAATTGAATATAAAAAGATAATAGATACTAACACTGACATAGTAGAGATGAAGAGTTATTTGATAATAAGTTTAAAGCAGCCATCAAAACAATCTTTAGCCAAAACCGGTTTGGCTTAGTGGTATAGCATCAGTCTATGGACTGAAAGGTCCCAGGTTCAGTTCCAGTCAAGGGCATGTACATTGGTTGTGGGCACATCCCCGGTGGAGAGTGTGCAAGAGACAGCTGGTCGATGTTTCTCTCTCATCGACATTTCTAGCTCTCTTTCCCTTTCTCCTCTCTGTAAAAAATCAATAAAAATATATTTAAAAAACAACAACAATCTTTACATGAGTGATTTTGAACATCCTTAAATGGGGTGGGGGTGGAGCAGTTACAGCAAGTAAATAAGAAGTCTCAGCAAAGAAAATGAAGCTATAAAGAAGAAACAAATGAAAAGTATAGTACAGAAGATTATAATAACTGAAATAAATAACTCAGTGAATAGGCTCAAAGCAGAGTGGATGGGACAGAGGAAACACTCAGGGACCTAGAAAATATAACAATAAAAATATCCAAGGAGCATAGGGAGAACATGGGCTTGAAAACAACAGGAAAAGATCAGAACCATAGTAACCAGTAGAGTCATAACAACAATAATAAAAGAAAGAATGAAGGAGGAAGGAAGGAAGGAAGGAAGGAAGGAAGGAAGGAAGGAAGGAAGGAAGGAAGGAAGGAAGGAAGGAAGGAAGGAAGGAAAGAAGGAAGGGAGGGAAGAAACTACAACATTTGGAGTCCAGGAAGAAATTAAGGAGATGGAGCTGAAAGAGTACTTGAAGAAATAATGGCTTAAAACTCTTCTAATTGGTAAAAAGACAGAAATCCTCAATTTTAAGAAGGTGAGCAAAGATAAGATGAGATAAACCCAAAGATATCAACACCCACATCATAGTCAGACTTCTGGAAAATAAAAATAAAAACAAAAACAAAAATATCTTGAAAGTTCTGAATGACAAATAATACTTTATAAGGAAAAAAAGTAATTCTCATGACAATAGGTTTTCCCTTAGAAACCATAAAGTCTAAAAATAAAAGAATTGTCAACAGAGTCCTATTTCCAATGAAAATATCCTTCAGCAATATAGAGAAAATCAAGGCATCTCAGGTAGTGAAAACACAAATATAAACAAGAATTGATAAAGAATAATATCCAAATGTCAAAAAAATATGAAATATATTCAAAATCATCTATCCAGGTAAAGTCAAACTTATTCCCACATTACTTACTTACCAGGATAGCTAAAATTAAATAGGTTTATGATAT